CATTGCGTTTCAAAAAAAAAATTTAATGGGAATTGGTAGCTTGCATTGCGCCACGTGGTATGGACTTGGGAAATATAAATACAAAGTACACTGAGTGCACTATTGGGCTGACTAATTCAAATGGACAAAATTACGATTTTGCCCTCTAGCTTCCCCTGCACACTTCTTTTAAATAGCATAGACTTTTTTGCTTTTTTATTAATTTTGGCTTTTTAGTTTTTTTAGGAGATCTCAAACAAGTACTAAAATAGTCAAAAAGTCAATTCACATCCCAAACGAACTAAACATCACATCATGTGAGACCTATACACATATTAGAGCTCTTAATTTAGAGTTCTTAATCATTTCTCAAGTGAAATTTATGTCGAAAAATATTTTAGAGCTCTAATTCTTGAGCTCTAGGGAAGCTCTAAACATGTGGATCCCACTTGTAATGTGATGTGTGTGTCTTTATTTTATTTTTTATTTTTTTTGGAGCGGGGGCTGCCACATAGCTCCTTAATTAGAACCTTCTATCATTGTTGAATCAATAATGCTTAGTAGTTCAAATTTTCATGGGCCGAATAGCTTGAATGTCTCAAAACAATGTCGTTTTAGGGGTAAAATGACGTTTTGATATATTTAAGTCATTCAAACACACAAATTCGAGTTACCAAACATTTTATTTTTCTTGTTGAATTATGTCTCGAAAAATATTTGGTAGCTCGAATTTATATGACCCAAATGACTCGAATGTACATCGTTTTATTTCCAAAACAATATCATTTTGAGACATTCAAACTATCTAAATCATAAAAATTCAAACTACCCACCATTGTTGTTATGTCTCATTCCACGAATGAACTGTCATCTTACTGTGCCTATAATGATCAAGGGACTCATGTGGCAATCCAACGTATACAAAACTATGCACATGGACAAATATTGGAAAAGACATTTGAGCACATAAGAGTAAATTATAAACACATCCTCTAAGGTTTACTTAAATTATAAATTATTCTTATAGTTTTAAAAATTACCTTCTAAGGTTTCTAATTTCATAATAAATAGGTCATTTTATTAATAAGTTATCAAGTTAATTAACAGTTTTTAATAATATTAAAATTTTATTTCAATTAATAATTCGAATAATTTTATTATTGTATAAGTGAACAGTTAGAAATTTCACTTTTTTAATTAATTCTGTTAAATAAAATTTACCCATAGATTAATCACAAGCAATTGAAAGAAGCAACGGTTACTGCGAAGATTCAAAGTCTCATTAATTGGTTCCCATTTTTATTATTTTTAGTTCAGATTTGGTTGGACGGGTTAGACGAAAAAATTATAATTCATCAAATTGTTAATTTTGAAATACATAAGTTTTAGATTATTTGGTTTAAAAAAATATGTATTTTATATTTGTTTAGTCATAAGATTAGATGTCAAAAAATGATTAATCTATTAAATTGTAGCGATCTTGATTTTTTGTAAGTTTTTATTTATTATTATTATTAGTATTCAGTTTCTACTAAATTCGTTCGCTATGTCCTTTAGGAAATTTGATTATGTATAACTTTTGTTCTTTGAGTTTTGGTCAATTCAAATTATTTAAGTATGAAACGGTGCATTTTTATACTTCTTCAGCAAATTACTTATAATTAAATTATACTAACTTTATTTTTTATTCAGAATGGTGGGTCTTACTAACTTTTTATGCAAGGCTGACCCACCATATTTTTATTTTTATTTTGTCTATTTTATACTCAATTTATATTTCGTTATATACGGGCAAAAAACAAAATGCCACCGTATCTCCCTAGAAACTACCAATTCGTCTCGGTGCGGGTGGAACTACTTGTTTTGTCACGTAACAGGAATTAAATGTACTTTTGTTTGTATCTGGTAGACACGTGGGTTTCAAATATTTGTACTCATATTTTTATTTTTATTTTGTTCATTTTATACTCAATTTATGTTTCGTTGTATACGGGCAAGATACTAAATGTCACCGTATCTCGGGAAACTACCCATTTATTTCGGTGCAGATGGAGCTACTTGTCTTGTTCCGTAATAAGAATTAAATGTATTTTTGTTTGTGTTTGGTGGACACGTGTGTTTCAAATATTTGTACTCATACCAGTATACTTGTATACTGACCCGTTTTGTCTCTTGGCATCTCGGGTGCATTCTGTTTGAGCGCAGCTAAGCTTCCTTTGCAGGATTAGTTGGGACTACGATAGTAACGAGAAATAACTATAGTTGTTGGATATGTTGTTTGGACTTCTTTTGTTTTCTTAAGTTTCAGGTTAATATTAGTTTATGTATTCATTATTTTTTTATGACATTAGTGTTTTGACAATTTGACATTGTGAGTTATTTTTCAACTTTACATTATTTAAATTGTTTTGGCTAGTTTTTGTTACTTTAATGTTGGAGGTATTAGATAGTTATGAAATTATGGTGGATGGTTTGTTTGGTGTTTTGTTAGGTTTTTTTTTTTTCCCTTGTAATCTTTTGAGCATGGAAATTTACTTAAACGCTTTGGAGACGTGAATGTTTAGATTTTGTCTCACCCCTAAGATTTGAATGATGGATTATTGATTGGGATTTAGTCATAATTTAATATTTAATTGTCCAAATTTTGAGACATGACATAAATCCTATGTTTGTTTGAGATATTATGAAAAAAGATAAATGCTCAAAAAAAATTTTCCCCCTTTGTATTGTTTATTAAATAATAGCAATACTAATATGACTTATAAATTTTATTTTATTTATTAGCTAGAACTTTTAAAAATTAAATAAGTAGAACTTTAATAAAAATTAAATAAATTTATTTTAATTTAGTTGAGACTTTTAAATTTTATTTTGTTTTACCAAGTACAATGCATAATAAAACTAAACAATTTGTCTACGAAATAGTGAAAAACAAATTGAATCTTTAGGCCACCATTTGAAAAGAGAAAAAAAAAAAAAAAAAAAAATTGAATTTTTATCCCATCATTTGAAAAAAAAAAATTAAAATACATGTACGTAGTGGGCAAAAAATGACTTTTTACAAGTTAATCATATGGGATTGTTATCTCACCATTTGTATCACATCTCCCTTGGGACACAATAATCTCACGTATGAAATATATAAAGTCTGATTAAACTCTTAATTGGACCTATAAATTTTTAATCAAATAATGAACTACTCCATAAAATAAACATGGAGTCTACTCGCCCTTCATTCCCTCCAAACGAACGCTCTCTTAATTCAAAAAATTCGTCTTGTTGGAGCAAAAGAACTAATTCATCTTCACTGAAGCAAAACAACTTTAAAATAACTTTCATTTACATTAGTCATATACTCAATTGTACTTCCCTGATAATTATAAATTATTTTGAATCGTACCTACCGAAAGGTAATATCCTCCAATATATTTTTTTTCTTCAATTGTAACAGTACTGATTGTTGCTGTAAACTTGTTGGAGAAATAGTACATATCCAAACTTATCCTATATTTTGTGGAGGGAAAATGTTTTGTATAATAATACTTTTTTTTACTAGGTTATTTTAATCAGCAATAGACCACTTGCGTATATTTTAGTGTGGGCACATTATTTTGGGGAAATTACAATAAGTTGTACTTCTAAAAAATAATTATATAGACATGAAAAAGTTTATACCTTTAGTAATTAAAGTTTATAATTAATTTGAAAAAAAAAATCAATATATACACTGATATGTTATTCCCCCTTATTACTTTTATGTTTAGTAAAAATACTATACTCAAAAAGTATTTAAAATTTAAACTTAACCTTCATGTTAGCATCTACAAAGCCCACGCATTCTATTTCGATATTCTGAATCGTTCATTTCATATATATCATTTATAAAAAAAATTAAATTTATTCGATAATCGTAAAAATTCAAAAAAAGAGGTACGCTATATAAAATGGGAATAACAATTTTTAATTAAAAAAGACAATTACACTTACTATTAGATAATGTGATGAAATATCTCTATTATAAATATGCAATAGAGAAGATTACCATCCATAAGCTGCCAAACAACCTAATTTTGTCTTTAGGGAGCTCGATGTACGAAAAAATATTTGGTGCTCTTAGAGCGTTATGTGACGATATCCTTCATAATCATAAATCTTCATATCTTCTTATATTTTCTAACTACTTAACATAAATTTGAAAGTTTCACTCTCTCTATTAATTACAATATCATTGAGACAGGTGTTTTAAGAAGTTGGTAAAAAGTTAATTTTTTGACTTTTTGGCAAAAAAATGGCTTTTTTTTTTTGTATTTTTTAGTGACTTTATACCAAGTTCCCAAATTGCTTCTACGTAATGGTGTCTCAAACCAACCAATAACGTCTCTCCATGTATTCCATACCTTATCGAATACAACAATGATTCATACCACTACTACTAATAGAACTAATACATTGAGAATGCAAAAAAAAAAACAAAAAACAAAGCATAGTCCACTGTTACATTATTAGTGGTGCTATTAGAGTACCGCTTTTAGTGTTCTCAACTATTTTTTTATGGAATAAAATGAGAATAGCTATGAGTCTATGCTCTATGAGCCAATGACATGAAAGCACAAGTGGTGCTTTTCAAGCCGTAAGCCATTCTACAAAAAAATGTCTCAATTATACCTTTGTACCAGCCAGTAGCCACCCATGTTTAAGTTTCTATGGAAGAGGAGGGATTTAACTTGTGTTGTAGGACTAAAAAAATTGTCCTTTACCACTTGTATAGAATATTGGGTGTTTGATAAGTACGCTCATGAAACTTTTCAGTACACCTACATCTATGAATCATGAATTCCAAAACATTGAGAGAAATATATGAGTGTGGTGAGAACCCGTTTGATAACTTTTAATTTTAGTCAAAAAAAAAATAATAAAAATAAAAAATTATTATAAATTGTTAAATTATTTTTTTATATATTTTTTTGTAAAAATTTAAAAAATTATTAAAACAGACTATTGACCAAAACAAAGTTAACATTTCAAAGGCATGTTTTGACAACACAGCAAGACATTTGCAAATAAATAAGAAGAAGAAAAGAAAACCACAATTCTGTTCAACATTAATAGGTTCACTACAACACTGTAGTTGCCACACAAGGAGATTTGCATAAGAGCAATTTAAGTAACTTCAATGGCACTCAACAAGCAGAAATTATCACCAGTTGACGACTCCAAACTGCAGAATAATGTAAATTCATGTAATAACTAGAGGAAATGAAGTCCTAAAAAGAAGGTTAACTGCAGCACACCTGATGTGAAATTAACTGAAACTGAAAATTATTGAACTCATGCCAATACCTGATACACATAAGTTTGAAAACAAAGGAAGAATTAGCAAGCAATATTTTGATAGACAAGTATAAATCATATAAAATATTCAATAGAGTTCATAAGTATGGTTAATTAAGAATCAAAACAGAGTAGCAAATAAAAGTGTACAGTTAAAGAGTTTGAAAATATAACATTGTTAGTTGCCATCTGTTTAACTAATTAGATCTGTAGAGCAATAGGAATTATATTAGTAAAATCTTACATGTAATATCTCTAACCACAAGAGCCAACCAATAGCAGCATCAAATTTGGAATTAATCTCCACCCTTTTTTTGGTTGACTGCGTTCAGCTTCATTAGCAGTATCAGACTCGGACACAACCCAACCATCTCATTCGCCTTTGTATAAGAAAATGCACAATCAATAGTAAAATTAAAATCATTATGGCATTTAAAAATACACCAAAGGTTAAAAGCAGCCAAAGCAAGACACTCCCTCTAACAACTTTTTTATTTCTTTGCTGGAGAAACATCATACTTTGCTAACAAACAGAAGACAAAGCCCTAATCACATATGCAATACACAACAGAGATGAATAAATATCATGAGCACATAGCAACGAAGTTTCATAGACTTTCATAATATTTATTTCCTAGCTGCAAAATACAATGACACCACAACTAAAATTGGCAGCTTTATATGTCCCATTGCCCATTCCAAAATAGCCCACTATTTGTAGAATCCAAAACATAAGCAAATGCAAGATTTGCTAGGTACAGAACAGTACAAAACCCATTTGAAAAGATGACTTCCTGATTAAAGATTCCATATCAACGTGCATATGCAAAAGAAAATGGTGCTTAATTAAATTACATGTTTTATGCATTTAGATTTGAACAAAATTATGATTTTTGTTAAATTCCATAACCATAACCAAATGAGAGATGTTAGAAAAACTGTGAATTCAGTACAAGCATCATAATCAAATCACTGCATTACATTGACATTGCCCTCTAATGTCCAGTACAAGCAATTAAATTAAACTACTACACTTGACAATGGTTCCTTTAATGGAAATTTATTATAGTAAGAGGCAAGGCAAGTTACAGATGATTAACAAGTTTACAATCCATCAGAGGATGTGCGTCACACTAAACTATATTTTAGCATTTTTACATTTTTTTTTGGTATCATAATGCTCACTCCTTACACTGAAATTATATTTTAAAAAAGGGTAATGATTCACTATCACTACTATCATTATGCCATTTTCCAAAACTGATGCTAAAGGCTATAACAAATTCCGTTCTGACTTTTTATGTATAAAACTGTAATAAAAATCTATAGTGTCTATCAATGAAGTGTATTGCACACTAAAATCCTGCCCAGATCAAGTTTCTTTATTATGTCCAAAATAAAGACCTGCAACATAACATATGTTGATAAAGCCAGGAAACAAAGAATGCTAGCCTATCCATTGAGCATCGTGTGCATGACTTTGGTGTCACTACTAAATATATACCAATTATACAAAACCAAATGGCCAAGAGAACATATAAATAGAACCTCAAAGAGAAACCTCCAAAAAATAAATATAAATAAATAAGTCCAAAAACAACTTGTATGATTTGGAAATTTGAAACAAGATTATACACTGAATATGCACACAAGAAGAAGAAAAGGGAAACAATAATCTAACCGTTGCCGCAATGAGAAGGGTAATTGGGTAATTGCAAGATTCACAACCATCGTGAATATGTGGAAAAAATTCAAACCTTAGAAAGGAAATAGGTCCCCCTGTACACAACAATATGATTATCTATAAACAAAATACATACCCAGGTAGATATGTAGATATATTTATATACCTATACATAATTTCCCAGATGAATATATATTAGTACATTGCTTCAAGCCTCAGCCATTACAACATGACAAAGAATTCAATGCAGCAATGTGGAACTTCAAATCCTATTCATCGAAGTGGAACCAGAGAACATGAACTTGTTTACAGATGACAAATTTTGATTGATTGCCCCATTGTATTCAAAATGATATAATTCAATAAACAGAGTTAAACCAGGAGAAGCAAATGAACAAGGAAATTTGTGTCAAATTTTTATACCCACAACTTAATTACTTTGCAAGAGCAAACTTTCCCTTATACAATTTCAAGTGCCTGAGTAAACATTGAAATTCACAAATACATAATATATAGAGTTACATAGATAGGTGTGTTTACCTGAGGAGGACGAAGGATATCGACGTAGCAGAGGTGCTGATCTGAGAAGAACATCAAGCAGAGTGTGTGAGATTGAGGGATAGAGAGAGGGAGAGAGAACAAGATTAAGAGGCCAGAGAAATTCTTATTGAGAGAGAGAGAGATGAACATAAAATAAAATAAATAAAAAAAACACATTCAAAAACAAAAATTTAGAAAATTAAAATAAAAATAAAAATAAAAATAAACCAGAGCATACTAGCTTCTGAGAGTTATCATGATAAAAAAATAATAAGTAAAAATCCAAACAGATGGATTATTATGGGCATACTACAGCTTTTTGTCGATTAATATAGTATTCTTGGCGCATAACCTTCAAATCATAATTACCTACATACTCAATAATAAAAATTATATTTATATAAAAGAGAAAAAACCTTCTCTTGTAATGCTTGTACAAAGGCCTCAGAGGCATCACCACTAGCAATAGCCACAAAGTTTTACGATGATTTTCTCAAACCAACTAATCAACCAATAAACACGAAAAAAATCATAAAAAGAACAAAAAATTAGAACAAATCGAGCAATTTATGGATCAAAGAACCGAAACAGAGGTAAAAAAAAAAAAAGAAGCAAAAACAGAACCGATGACAGATCTGCATTGCGATGCTGAATACATATACATATGCATATAAGCATTCATGTAATTATGCATTGATAGGACGCTATGTACACAATGAAGCTCAAAGATAGTCTTTGTGTGTGTGTGAGCGCGCGTAATGTAGGTAAATTTTGAGGTAGGTGAAACGCATGAGAGGTGAGCTTACTCTGCTGCATTTGAGTGCTCCGAGAGAACTTTTCCATGGTAGAGTTAGGGTTTCTCTGCAACGAATCGCGCAAATTGCAGAGAGAGAGTAGATAATGTGTACGCAAATACAAAGAGAGCGAGATAGTGTGTGAGAGAGAGATTGAGAGATTGAGAGATCGAGAGAGGGAGAGAGATTGAGAGATCGAGATAGAGAGGGAGAGAGATTGAGATCAAGAGGGATAGAGAGATTCATATCGGTGAGCAAAAGAGAGAGAGAGAGAGAGAGAGAGAGGTTGAGCGAGCCAAGCTAGGGCAGAACCAAGGAAATGGAGCAAATAAGTAAGAGAAAATAAGAGAAATAAAAATATATATTGGAGCCTTTTTTTTTTTTTTTTTACGACGGCCAAACAAGCAGTCGCAAAAAAATAGTCGCAAAAGGTCAATTTTCTAGTAGTGTAATACATTGAGAATGCAAAAAAAAAACAAAAAACAAAGCATAGCCCACTGTTACATTATTAGTGGTGCTATTAGAGTACCGCTTTTAGTGTTCTCAACTATTTTTTTATGGAATAAAATGAGGATAGCTATGAGTCTATGCTCTATGAGCCAATGACATGAAAGCACAAGTGGTGCTTTTCAAGCCGTAAGCCATTCTACAAAAAATGTCTCAATTATACCTTTGTACCAGCCAGTAGCCACCCATGTTTAAGTTTCTATGGAAGCGGAGGGATTTAACTTGTGTTGTAGGACTAAAAAAATTGTCCTTTACCACTTGTATAGAATATTGGGTGTTTGATAAGTACGCTCATGAAACTTTTCAGTACACCTACATCTATGAATCATGAATTCCAAAACATTGAGAAATATATGAGTGTGGTGAGAACCCGTTTGATAACTTTTAATTTTAGTCAAAAAAAAAATAATAAAAATAAAAAATTTTTCGTATTTTCATACTATCTACATTAGCTTTTGTTTGTTTAGCTTTATTAAAAGTTAGGTCAATGTAATTATACTAAAATTATAAGATTTACTAGAATTTTTTCTTAAACTCAAGAGAAGTCGGTTTAATTCATTTACATGACACTTGCACATGGTTGTTTGGAATGATCTAAATAAGTATACTTTTTGTCTTTTTACAAAAAGATGTGCAGAAAAGTAGAGAGGTGATGTGATAGAAAAAGATAAAAAAATAAAAATATGAATTATTTAGGGGATGCCAAACTAAATTGTTTTCACCACATAACATATCAGTAAGTAAAAAAATTATTTATCTATATTATAATTCTCTATTTAATAATGGCTTCTATCTCTCTTTAAACACAATCAACACAATTTTCTTTGGTTTGGTAGGAGGGGACCATGTCACATTTGGTCCCAATTAACTTTAGTCGGCCAAAAAACACATTTATTTATTTATTTATAAATGTCATTAGAAGAATAGTTTTGTGGCACTTTCAAATGTCACTAAACTAAGAAAATGTTGTAGTGTGAGTTCTAATAAAACATGATCATGGGTTTCATTTTCATTTGAGGTCAACTTCTTGGGGGTATATCTTGGATCCAGCTAAGCCTTTGTTTTACATCTCAATCTTGGGCTAAAATAATTATAAAATAATAAAATAGGTTAAGATAAAATGTCACATTCAAATCATAATCATTTTATTTTTTCTCTCATAAAAGTTAAAAAAACTAAAAAACACATCTCAAACGAGACTTTCTAACCCAGGCTAAAAAGTTAAAAAACTAAAAATTCAACCCACATCTCCAACGAACCCTAAATGGTTTGAGTCGTGTAGAATTCAATTTATGTTAAAAAAATTAAATTAATTTAATATTAGTAACTATATAATTAGATTGTTTTATTTTTAAAAAGTTAACGATAAATATAATTTTAGAAACAAATCATTTCATTTTTCTTAAAAAAATATGATCAATATATTTATTATTGGTATCTCATCAATTTAATTTTACTTTTATATAGATAATCCTTTTTACAAATCCCACAAAATAAATAACCCAAACCATAAAAATACTACACATCTTAGTCATACAACGCATTACTTAAAAAAATCATATCTCAATAATACAACACATCACTTAAAAAAATCCGTGCTCGAAATGACCCCATCTCAAGCTCAAGTAAAGCAAATTTGGCTCTTTGATCTCTTGTACGTTGAGTAGCTAATTCCTTCTATATTAATTAATAATAGGATAAATTATAAATGTGCCTCGTGAAGTTTACTTAATATGATTTATCCCTTATGGTTCTGAAAATAACATTCCGTCATTTAAAATTTTTAATTTCATAATAAATAACCCCTTTTATTAATAAATTATCAAGTCAATTAACAATTTTAATGATGACCCTGTTTGGTGGAGTTTTTTTTTAAGTTAAAAGCTGCTAAAAGCACCCACACCCCAACTTTTCAATAATCAACTTTTTTCAGTTTATTTAGCCATTGTTTGGAAAGTGGGTTTGGGGCTAAAATAGCCACAAAAAGAAAAATAAGTTTTTTAACCCAATAAGACAAAACATCACATCTAACTCATAATCATTACATTCTTTCTCTCATAAAAAAGCCAAAAAATCTATAAAAAAACCAAAAGTCCTTCCAAAGCCAAACTTTTTAGCCCCAGGCTAAAATAACCAAAAAAATGAAAAAGCCAAAAAACCAACCCACTTCCCAAACAAGCCTTAAGCAATTTCTGCTTATAAGCAGAAACTGCACCAAATAGTCTGGCACAAATTCCTAAATCAAAATAAGCTATAATCACCTCCAAAAGCTGTAACAAACAGTCCTGATATCATAAATTTATTTCAATTAATGATTCAGGTAATTTTATTATTATATAAGATAACAGTTAAAAATTTTATTTTCTTAGTTAATTTTATTAAATAAAAAATTTTAACAATGGGGCATTTGTAATTTTCTAAATCATAAAAGGTAATCCATATTTTGAGCAAATCTCGAGAGGTGTATTTGTAATTTATCCTTAATGGAAGCATTCTTTCCTGTTCAATTTATTTACTATATTTTTATATCATATTTGAAATACAATTTTATGTTGTATAGTTACAATTATTATTTAAATGAATTTTATATTAATTTTATTAATATTCAATAATTATGATTGTGCCACATAAAATGAATAGTTTTTAATCCGTGCTATGCACGGATTATGTTTGAAAAATTATTTTCCATACATGTAAAAAACTTATGGATGCAATATTTATAATTAACAAACTATTTTACAATTTTGTCATAATTTTGAAGAAAAAAGAGAGAGTTGCATGATAGATCAATAATAAACTATTAGTAATAAGGTGATAAAAATAAACAATCACACCAAGCATAAATATTAAACAGTTTCACCAAGCAGGAATAGCAAACATTTTCTTCTTTAATTGTTTCTTTCTTTTTGACTTTTATTTTCTTATTCCAAATATAAAAACAGTATATATATTTGCAATTACATTGGAAGGAAAGATAATTATATACCAAAAAAGTTAAGTGATTAATCTTTAAGAGAGAGAGAGATAAGTACATAACAAAAAGTTCTTAAACCATTGACCTTGAAGTCCTGTGAGCAACAACAAATACAATTAAGAATAAGATATATTAATACATCCTCCTCAAAGTGAAAGTTTTTCAACTCAAATGCCTTGCAATTTCCTCTGACACCTAATATATATTAGGATCATGCTACTATATCACTAATTTAAATCAATTAGATTCAAGACCCCCCAAAAAATGTTGAAATACATATCATTAATTTAAATAATATATACACAAATAAAAAAAAAGATTAAAATAAGAACATAATAATTATTTAAAATGCAAATGAGAATATCTACACATACCATAGACATTCAAGTGTTGACAACAATGATAAGAATTAACAGATCCTGCCATAGGAATTCAAAGTCTGCATACCTTTCCATTGTTGTAATTTTGCTTAATTCTTTGTCAAAGTGATTCAAATGTGACCACTCAAATAAAAATACCAGTTGGCTTTGAAAAGCTAGTTTGAGAGAAAACAAAAGACACCAATGACTTGCAATGGTGAAATTAAGGCCTCGTTTGGGAACAGGCTAATTTAGTAATTTTTTGACTAATTGGCTAAAAAGGTAGGTAAAAAAAACTTGTATGTTTGGGATGACTTTTTGACTAATTACGAAAAGCTATGCAAAAAGTAGAGAGAAGCCGTAATTGTTGATTTTTTGGTATGACTAATTGGCTAATTTAGTAACTTTTTGGCTAATTGGCTAAAAAAGTAGCATCCCAAACGAGGCCTAATATTTATTAATGAACAAAAAATTATATTACTTCAATTTCTATTTCAGGTTTCAGATGAAGTTCAAAGGTTTTGTCACAGCTCTCTCATAAATACTAGGGATAATGGGGGCATTTCTTCGGATTAGTTTTGAAAAAAATTAATAAAGCAAATATGATCCTAACTCAGTTCCATGTGGCAAAATTTCAAGAGAACACATGGCAAATTTTCAGAGCATTGCCATTGAAAGGGATAGAATTACATGAATCAGGATGTCTCCTTGATCTCTCTCCTTAGTTCCCTACATGTTGGGCTATTGAGCTCATTTTTTGGCCCAATTTTGATAATTCGAACCATTATTTTAAGATTTGTTGCGTATATCATACTCATAAAAAAATCAAATTGATCGAATATCAAAAAGCATGTGTTCGGATTATCGAACTACAAACCATTTTTTTAAAAAAATTAATAAACAGTTTCCGAATACATACTTTCTGATATCTGATCAACTTGATTTTTTACAAGTATAATATACTCAACAAATTTTAAAATGTGAACGGTTTGGATCATCAAAATTGAACCCAAAAATGGGTCCAATAACCCAACAAGTACGGAGTTAAGGAGAAGAATGTAACAGAGGATCCTGATTCGAATTACATATATATATATATATATATATATTATATGATATTTAAAATATGATACAAAGATATGATTAATGTAACCAACAATGCTAACCCATATTTCGTATCTATAAATACATTTACAAAGATGTGGCAAAGGTGGTGGATCTCATATAATTAAGTGTAAGACCAATCAATCATAAGGTAGTGATATTTTTAAAGTTACCAGTCATACTGACTGATGTTTTGGTTCGAGATAAGAACATTACAAAAAAAAAAAAAATTCTACCATTTTGAGTGTAAGAACCCTAACAAATATAAGGTAAAAAAACTCAAGTATAGATGAAGCCCAACAAAGTTATAAGACTGAAAAATTATCATGTATATACAAGATCAAACTACTGATTTCTTAATAAGATGTTGAAAATCTTTAAAAAAACATTAATTTCAAGCATAAGAAAACAGAAGGAACAAAAACATCACTTTTAAATATATCAAGAATCAATCTCAATTATTTAAAAATAAGTCTTTTCTTCCA